GTCTAAGGCTTTAGGAGGGACCCTTAATAGGGACCCTTGTAGGTTATTGGGGTTAATATGGAGACTACCTGGCTATAGAAGGGGTATATAAGGACTATACAATGGGGCTCCATAGGGCTATTGCCAAGATTCGCTGTTCATATAGGAGCCTTAAAAATTTGTGAATAGGGTTTTGGGGGCCAGTATACTATAATTATAACAAGAAGCCCCTAAAACAGTATTGGTAATTATTTAGGCCCCTATTTATGGCTGCGCCGCTGTCGCATTATAGTTGCGAAAAACGAAACAGAATACGAGTAATGAGCGTCTTATTTTGATGGCTGCTAGTACAAGGCATGAGCCTTTGACCCATCGACACATGACGATTTAGGAGTTGAGGGTGTGTACTAGGGATCTAATGAGGGAGTCTATAGGGTTTCTGAAGGGTTCCATGAAGGTTCGCAGGTTCTGGTTCACAGGGGCTTCTACAATTCCTTTATTCATGTCCGACACTTACCATGCCGGCTAAGTCTTTCTGCCTTTATTGGGCCTGCCTGCTCGCTCAATGTTCTGCTTTGCTTGCGAAGGTTCAACTGGTGCGCCGCCTCTTGCGGCATGCGCAACAGCCGGATGCTGCCGATGTTCTTGAGAGCCAATGCCAAACCATTTAGTAAACCTGTGGCTGGCTTACTAGTACTACTAGTACTGGTAGTACTAGTAACTGATAACACTAGTAACACTAGAAGTGCTAATAGTACTTGCAACTACTGGTACTACTGGCACAATCATTCCAACAAGGAAGAGCACGAGGAGGCGTACTTGTATCAGCATTAGTACACAATACTTCTAGTAGTATTGCTATTATTATTTTCAGTAGGTTCACTGTAATTTGAGCTGAATTGCGGTTTCGAAGCAAAGGAAGTAAGCCTGAGCCAACTTGAAAGGGCAGAATAAGCAGCCTTGAGTCCTCCCAGCAAAGTTTCGTGAAACCAGCAAGTAACACGGTGCCTTCTTTCAGGCTGGGTGTCCACGAACCGAACTTTCTGTTCTATCGACGACCGGATTTTCGCCTTCTCGGCGTCTCCCGCACTCCTAGGCTTGGCTCGCTCATCGTTGTTGAGCGAGCAGATTAGAGGGCGAGCGAGCAGAATGGTCTAGGGAGCGTGGATTTAGCAAGCATAATAGAGGAAATAGCGGGCAGATTAGGGGATTAGCCGCTTGAGCGAGCAGAATAGAGCTGATCAGGCTGGTTGAGCGAGCAGAATAGAGCTGAGCGAGCACATTGGTGTGTTTCAGAGCACGAGATTCGACCCAAACCAGCAGAAGAAACATTGATGCCTGTGCAGCGGAGCCACTCTGTGAGAGCCTTCAGCCGCTGAGCGAGCCACGTGCCGGCCATGCGTGGGCAGCCTGGGAATTCTGCTCGCTGAGCTGCCGCCCTAGGAAATTTTGCGTCGCGTGCGTGCGTGTGCGGGAAAAATTTTCCGAGCGAGCAGGCATTCCTTCAGAGCATGTCGTTTTGAGCGAGCATGCACGAACGTGTGGTAATCATGCTATAATGGACCATTCGCGTCTCTAGGAGGGATGCCTGCTCGCTCGTTTTTTTGTTTCGCACAGGTGCGTCACGTTGCGGAAAAATTTTTTCGAGCGAGCAGGTTGACTCAGCAGAAAATCGAGCGAGCAGATGAGTAGAATAGAGGATCAGAGTCCTGGCTTTTGCCTTCTGTTCTCTCTTCGTGAAGAGTTCCGGGCTCTCCTCATAAATGGCTGGCTATCCGGTCCTGAGCAAGCAGATTAGAGGGTGAGCGAGCAGATTTGAGGCCAGCGAGCAGATCAGATCCTGGCTTTTGCCTTCTGTTCTCTCGTCGTGAAGAGTTCCGGGCTCTCCTGATAAACGGTTGGCTATCCGGTCCTGAGCGAGCAGATTAGAAGGCGAGCGAGCAGATTTGAGGCCAGC